CCCTTGAAAAATTGACTTAATACTGCAGAAATGGCCAGCAGCTGCATTACCACACTATCCCAAACCAGAGCACAGCTGCCATCACTGCCGAAGTACAAAACCTGTTCACATGAACCCACTCCAGAAGCAGAAAATCCTCCAGAAAAGGAGATGCGAGCAGGGCATGTGCCCATGCTGAGGGATCCCTGACAGGGCAGACACCTCCGTGCAGGGCTGGACTGTCGTTCCGCAGCTCATTAGTAAGCAAGGCAGCCCAAACTATAACCAAGACATCGACGGGTTTTTAATGCCTATGACACCAACTCACAAGCAACTCAAAAGCTGACTTTTCCTGAGACCTCTTAATGCAGTTGGGTACTTTATTCTCATTGCTTTTATTAAATAGAGGCTGCTGAGCCAGCAGGGTTTGATCCAAAGCTAAAAACCCTCTAACAGCTTGGCTTCAGCACCATGCCAGCGCACATGCCAGAGTCTCACAGAATGCTGAAGGTTGGAAGGGACCTCTAGGGATCATCTAGTCCAACCCCTGCACACGCAGGGTCACCCAGAGCACGTGGCACAGGACTGCGTCCAGGCGGACCCTGGAGATCTCCAGAGACGGAGACTCCACAACCTCCCTGGGCAGGCTGTTCCAGTGCTCCATCACCATCACTGCCAATACATATTTCTGCGAACTTTTGGGGTTTCAGTTTGCAGCCGTTTCCTCTAGCTCTGTCGGTGCCACCACTGGAAAGAGGCCCCGCGTCCCAGGAGCGGCGCAAGGTCATGGAGCAGTTGCCCAACATGCACAACGCCGAGATCTCCAAGTGCCTCGGCAAGTGCTGGAAGCTGCTCAAGGACAGCAACAGGATCCCCTTCATCCGGGGGGCAGAGCGGCTGCACCTCAAGCGTGTGGCAGACTGCCCCGCATACAAGAACCGGCCCAGGAAGAAGGGGAAGTCGGGCAACAGCTCCGCCAAGCCTGGCGACAAGGCGGGCAAGGCCGGCGGGGGCAGCATTGGCATCTGTTTGCCTCTGAGTTTAGGGAGGCAGAGAGGGCATATTTGCATGGAAGTTTCAGAAAAACAGAAACTCTGTGGTCCTTGTAAAATCCACCCATCGGGCTACTTGGAGGAAAAGCAAGGCTGGATGGCAGGAGACCAGTTCTTTACATCTTTCTGCTGGCAACCATGTACCAAGTGGCAACCATGTCACCTAAAGGGCATTTTACCTGCAGCAATATCAGTCTACTAGGCATTAACTTCATTTCCAAATCTATACCTTATATTGAAACTGCTTATTTTCCTTCTCCAAACACTGCCGCCAGACTGCTATGCCGGGCTCTGAAAGCGCTTGGTCTCCAGGAACGAGGCAACAAGCCACTGATATGTACCTTTACGGCATAAGTTGAGATTCATGAAAAGATGTCTGTTCTTCATTACTGCATGAAAGCAGTGGATTGTCTTGTAGGGATTGCATGCCGTGCAATTTCTGTGCCTGGATTTAAAAGAAATGTGTAGAATTCTTGTAGATAACTACTACACTCAGTATTCCAAGTTATTACATGTTTTTTCAAACCCTTTCCTGATCTTAGATCACAGTAAGGAGTGCCCAGGGCTGTACGTTAATGAATACTAGAGTTTTACTTGGGACTGTCTAGAGGCTATCTATGGTTGCAACATTTTGTGATAGATTGCTTTTTTAAATGAACGACATAGGTCAAGATGCCAATCCAAACGATGAGCTGCCTTTAAAAACTGCAAGATAGCAGAGATCCAAAAGTGGTTAAGAAACCTTGGACTTCCTTCCACTTTAGATTTTACACTGAACCCTGGTTAGCAAGGCTCAGCACAAGAGGAGGAAAACATAGTCCAACCCTTGGCTTTCGGGTCAAGGAGCTAATCAGTGTTACACCTGCAGAGCTGCCTCGGCCATGAGAAGTGGTCCTCTGCTTATTACTGCGCACACTCACTTCTTTGTATTTTGCATCTATCCCTTCACAGCACTAAAGCAGTCAACATTCATCACAGAGTGCCCTTCAAAGTCAATGCTTCTGACTCAAGTACATTTGAATTTGCTGCAGACTCTTCTTACAAATAGTCTTCAATTTACAGCCCAGGCACTGAAGCTTGGGTAGAGAGCACGCAGGCATTATTATGTTCATTTTTTTACTGATGAAAAATATCAGAAAAGGAAGGTTAAAGCTGATTGGTAACACAGACATTTCTTGAATGTCAAGTTAAGTATTCAAAGCTTTGATGTTTTATGTCCAACCAGAACATACGAGAGTCTTTCAAGTGCACAGTGTTCTCTGTTAAAACCCTAGAAGAAATGATTTGAATAGTCTTGGAGAACTAGGAGGCCTTTTGGTCCAGCTTATTATTTTTTTAAATTCTTTGATTATGTGCAAAAGATTATTTATTTGCAGTTAGGTACCAGATCTGGATGTCAGATCTGGATGTCTGGATGAAAAGTACATCAAAGAGAATGCAGCATTCAGCCGAGTAATGCGCCAGTTAACGCTTGCTGTCTCTTGGCTACAGATGGCACCGGAGGTACCTCCACTTAGCTCGAGGCACCACAGTCCGAAGCACCAGGAGCGGCTGGATCCCGGTCCTCTCTCCTGCAGCATCAGGGCTGCTGCCCGCGGCACAGAGGGGGCGAGAGGCGCAGACTCCCCTGCAGAGCCGGGCACTGCCCACGGGCGCACGCGTCCGGGCTTCCCCGCGCCCAGGGAGAAACCCCTTCCTCACTGCCCATCACCACGATGCACAACTTCACCTACCTGTTCAGTGGATTATCTCGCTTTTGAGATGTCTCACTTTGAATATTTAAGATCTCATATTTTATGTAACCACCTCTTTCTAGCAGTCCATGTACAAATGCTGTTCTTCCTTCAAGTCCATCACAGTACAGAAAGGATAATTTTACCTAACATATGGAGACTATAGAGGTTCATACACCTGAATGTCTGCAGAGGATCTACATAGCATTTTAGGGAAAAAATCCAGGTTAAATGAACTCACATGTAACCCAGTGAAAAGACAGAAGGATGGAAGAGAACAAGATATGAGATTATTGCCAATGCATTACTGTAATTAAACAACTATTCCACTTGGATCACTAATTTTGAAAGCACCAAACACAAATGCAAAAAAGAGTTCTAAATCTGACAGATATTTAAATTAATAACTCTTTATCCTACCACATCATATCTATGACTAATAGATAATTTCTCTCCTCGATGCCAGGGCTCCACACCTCTGTAATACACAGTATTATTTCTGAGATTAATGGGCCGGATCCCAAGACACGCCAGTCT